ACAGGGGACCCCGCCTGCCCCCGATGGCACCGCGCCCGCCCCCGGGCCGCTCGCCACGCCCGCGCGCAGGAAGCAACCCTCGCAGCCCGCTCCGACGCGCAGGCCGACGAGGCGCGGCCGCAGGGCAGGCGCCGCCGTCGCCGCCCGCCCGTCCGAGCTTAGGGCTCAACAGGTCGCGGCGGCTGCCGTCGCTATCGCCGCGCCCGTCCCCGCCGCCGTCCCGTCCCCGCACAAGTTTTCGCCGGCGTCCGTGCTAGCGAACACACGCGTGCCGGATGTTGTGCCGGCGAGTATCTCGGGTTCGGTTGGTAAGCTTACGCCGCAGGATCAGGTCGACGTTGTGCGTCAGCTGGAGAATTGCATTCGCAGGAGAAAGTTGGACAAGGCCCGCGACATTTTGCTCGGTCATGCCACTACGCGTGTGTTTGGCACCAGGCATTATAATGCCCTTCTTGCTGCCCTTGCAAAGTCAAATAGGGTCGACGAAGCCGAAAGATTGTTTTGTCAGTTTGCGAATAGCGGGCTTGCTCATGATGTCGCCAGTCATTCCATTATGATTTCTGCGAACGGAAAGGCAGGAAGGATTGATGAGGCCGAGAGATGTTTTCGGAGAATGAGACTGGAAGAGGTTAGGCCCAACGCCTTCACTTACTCAGCCCTCATCGAAGCTTTTGGCAGAGCCGGAAAGCTGTCAAAAGCGGAGATGGCTTTTCGATCCATGATGGACGACGGCGTTGTGCCGAACGTCGTCGCCTACAACGCCCTTATGAAAGTTTATGTGAAGCGTGGGAAGGGGCCTAAGGCCTTCCAGTTGCACGATGAAATGGAGATGAATGGCCGAACCCCCGATGTCGTCACTTATGGCACTCTCATTGATTCGTGCGCCAAAGCTCGTGACGTGGAGGGGGCCTTCCAGGTCTTCCGCAAACTTCAACAAAACAACATCGAGCCCAACAGCGTGTGCTGCGCTTCTCTCATCGACGCTTGTTCTAAGGCCCGACAACCTCAGCGCGCCTTTGAGGTCCTGGACCTCATGAAGCGATCCAATATTCGTCCTGACATTTTTGCATACAACGCGCTGATCGACGCCTGCGGTCGCGTCAAGCTCGTGCATCGTGCCTTTGATGTGTACAAAGAGATTTTGCAGTCAGGATTGAAACCTGACAAGGTCACGTTCAATGCCCTCATTTCTGCATGCGGGAGGGCTAGGGATCTCGGTCGGGCTTTTGAGGCTCTCGAAGAGATGACAAAGTCCTACAATTTGACGCCGGATCGCCATACCTACAACTCTCTCATTGATGCCTGCGGCAAGTCAGAGCGCATCGATCAGGCTTTCGAGGTCTTTAGACGTATGGCTGCGTCCGGTGTGAAGCCATGTGCTGTAACGTACAACGCCCTTATTGACGCTTGCGGGAGAGCGAAAAACTTAGATTTAGCATACCAGCTCGCCAATCGGATGACATCAGAGAAGATTAGCCCAGATGTCTATACTCTTAACACACTTATTGCTGTCTGTGGAAGGTGCGGTGACATTAACCGAGCATTCACCGTCCTTCGAGAAATGATTGCGCAAGGTGTGCGTCCTGACGAAGTCACCTACAACACTCTGATTGATGCCGTCGGGAAGAAGGGTGAGCTATCAAGGGCCTGGGGCTTGCTGCAAGAAATGAAGTCGTTGGGTCTAAGACCGACCCGCGTCACTTACAACTCCTTTGCATGTGCATGCGCCAAAAGCCGGGATGCTGAGCGCGCCATGGAGTTGTTTCAGATGATGCAGACGGAACGCGTTGAACCTGACGCGGTGACTTATTCCGCGATTGTTGACTCATGCCTTCGTGGAGGCCGCATTTCTGATGCCGTATGTCTCTTTGAGGAAATGCAGTCTAAAAACATTGAACCTTGGGAGTCATTAGGGGGCAATCTCGCCATGGCATGCCTTAACAATGGAGACCGCGCTCGCGCCGCTCGTGTGTTCTTGTCACTCTGCCCGGCCGCACAAGCTCGTCTGGATGAACGTACTCGGCTCGCACTTGTTCACTCGGGAGCAGCTACCATTCCCTACATGAGTTAATAACTGTGTACGAGTAGGATGGGGATAATGATTTTGCGTATTTTTGTGTTGCATGGACGGGGATTGGGTTCAGGGTGATGTAACAATGTCTTTCATGTCAAGCATAGGTTGATATGGTAATTGTACTATATTTGTAGCAGTGCGGTAGCGGGGCAGGGTAACATAAAGCGGAACGGAACCACAGTTCTTCACAAGACAGATATTCGCGCATCTACAGTTTTTCATGGAACAATGTTTCAATACGCCGACAGTGTCTATTTACCGAATCGAGAGCCCCAGTGGCAACTACAGGCTCGAAGCGAAGCTTACTACTAAAGTACGGGCGTGTGGCAGCCAGGTGGAGTGCGGGCGGGCTCGTCTCGTAGTAGCGAAGACGGCAAAGAGGTCCGCGCTCTTAGTAGTTCTAATCTTCAATCATACAGGTTCCGGTTACGGGAAAGCGGGCATGGCCCCTGCAATATATTCTTTACATCTCCCAGATGGGCCTTACCATCAACGAACTACAACTCGTTCCCAAAGATGTCTTTCCTGAACGGCTCGGTAAATCTATGCCTTCGTCTTGATTGAGTCGGAGATCCACTCGAATCCCTCTTTCAATCCATCTCCCCGAAGCGCGCTGGTTGCAATAATGGTCCATTTCTTATCGACAATAGAAGACAAGCCCAGCGCTTCGGCAATCTCCGCAGCAGAAAGCGCTTCCGGCATGTCTTGTTTGTTAGCAAAAACGCAGACAACGGCATTCTTGAGCTCCTCCTCTTCGATAATATTCATGAGCTCACGCTTCGCAATTTGCATCCGGTTGGCGTCGCAGCTGTCCACGACAAAAATGACAGCTTCTTGCTCCTGGTAGTATGAGCGCCAGTACGGCCGAATGCTTTCTTGGCCACCCAGGTCCCATACTTGTGCTTTTAGCTTGCCAACCTCTGCAGGACGTGGGCGAATAAACACGGAAAGAATGGTTAGAAGACGGCAAGGTGTGTGTGGTGATGAGGGCATGGTTTCAGTTGACGAGGGATGCGTACCTATTTGTTCAGCATTGAAACCAATCGCTGTGATTCCGGAAAAAGTGGGTGAGACCGCATCAGGATGGAAAAGTTTGGTTAGATAAGTTTCAAACTGCTCAGACGGTCTTGTAGTTGGACAACAAGCGAAAATGACATACTCGGTACAGTAGAATGAAAAGTGCCTTCCTTCAATCGGTACAGAATGGACGTCTTGCCCGCTGCGCGTGGTCGCAAAAACAAAAAAAAACATTGTGTCCATGGCAATACCGAAGAAAAGGGAAGCTGTGGTTAGCATTGTTATTCTTCAGCTCGGGAAATGCGCGTCAGGAAGAAACGTGCGAAGTGCTCTCAATCGCACGGGAGGTTTGCGCATACCATTGTCGAGTCCGAGAATGAGGATCCTGACCTCCTTCTCCCCGAAAAGCGAGGAAATGAGGCGTGAAAGAGCGTTACCCATCGCTCCAGCGGGTTCCCGGGGGATATAACAAAATCGGCTGTGGGTGGTGGTGTCACAGGGGCGAATCTTTCTCCAATAGAAAGTTACAAACGTAGATCGCTTTGACGCCCAGAGTTTTCGCTGTAAAAGCTGAGGATTGGCGGTGCTGTGGAGAAGATGGCAAAGGCGGTGAGGTGGTAGTGCCGAGAGACGTCAGGATGAAATTGGGGCGGGGGGGGGGGAGAGGCTGTCAACAGTAACGTTAAACTGCGGCATAAACCATAGTGGCTAAAACGACATACCCACTGTAAGGATAAATGCGAATTTATAATATTTTTAATGCTCCCAGCTCTGGGAAACAGAAGTGATTGCGACTTTAGACACAAAATACGACCACCAAATGTCAGGCGTGTCACCTTACCACGAATGACGAACTCATGAGGTCCGTCAACAATGCCTTTGACAGAACATCTTCTCGTAGTACTCAACGAGTTCTTTTGAAACGGGTGCAGCCGTCTATCGATAGAGCTCTTTTTTCCTACCAAGCATCCAATTCGTAACTTCAGTATGGCGGCCGAAGGCGAGGTTCTCCCAAGCCTACAGCAAAGCCACAGGCAGGATGCGCAGACCTCAGCAAAGACGAGAGAAGAAAGTGGTCTCGAAGGACGCGTTAGGTGGATGACGAGCAAGCGCGAGTTCCGCGCACGCGCCCACTCCAATCCTCTCAACGACGGCTTGTTCAACCCCCCCATGGGCCCGTCCAAGCTCCCCATGGACCGTCTCTATGCGCAGCCACCCTCCCCTGTCGTGCAATGGTGTGACATCGGATGTGGTTACGGCGGCCTCCTAGCGTCGCTAAGCGCTGCATTCCCCAACAAAACCATGCTCGGGCTCGAAATCCGCGACCGCGTCGCTGAGTTCTGCCGGAGACGTGTGATGGAAATGCGTTCCGAATACCCCGGTTGCTACGGCAACGTCGCATTCGAGCGCACAAACGCGATGAAGTTTCTACCCAATTACTTTGCAAAAGGAAGCCTGGAAAAGTTGTTTTTTTGCTACCCGGATCCACACTTTAAGAAGAAGAAAAACAGGCAGCGCATCATCTCGACGCAGCTGCTTGCAGAGTATGCTTACGTGTTACAAGAAGGCGGCGGCGTGGCGTATGTGGTGACAGATGTGCCCGAACTGTTCGATTGGATGGTGCAGCGGTTTGAACAACATCCGCTGTTCGAGAGACGGGGGGAGAGGGATCATGCGGACGATCCGGTGTCCAAGTTTGTGCGAGATCTCACGGACGAGGCGCAGCGCGTCGATAAGAGTGACAGGGGCAAGCAGGACGCTTCGTTTTGGAGAGTGGTCAACCCGTAGTTACGCCCGTAGTTGTGCCCGTAGTTGTGCTATTTTCGGTCTCCTTGACGAACGAAAGAGGGTTACGGTTGAAGATTCCCCATTCAGGCAGGCAGATCTGTCAAGGTGAAGTCAGCCGCACGTCGCGGAAAGAGACAAATGTGAGAAGGCAAATCGCGCGGCATATCAAGCGGGCATGGACTGGAGTGCAAGTGGACGAACCAATGCACTTATAGCAAGGCCGCCGGAAAATGTGAAAAACATCACCATGACGTTGTCCGAGATGAAGGTGAAGAGAGCGGCGAGGATGGTGACGGTCCACATGAGGACCTGGAACATGCGCTCGCTCAGTTGCTGGCCCTTGAGATCCATTTCGGTATATCGTCAACTCGTGCTGCGGTTCCGTGCTATCTCCCTCCTGATTCTGCAACACTAACGCTGATTGCTGGTGGTTGCTGCTTGTCGGCTGGGGAGAGTGAACGCTGACCCTGCTTGGCTTTGTCAATCTACTTGCCTTGGAAAGCCGAGTTATCGTTTCTATGACATTCGTATCAACTGTAAGTGAATGGTGTAAGGATAGGATTTCTCCCAATTGTACCCAAATCACAAGTGCTCACATACGGTCATCCCCCTGCCAACTCATGTTTCACATTCGAGCACAGGCTGAAAGATAGTTCCCGCCGGCGTCCCAAGCCCCCCTTTTTCAATCTCGTTTGGGATTTGTCTTCCACGCTTGCCCGCCATCCTTTGCGTGAAGGAAGAACCCATGGCTGAAAATCTCTCTCCGATGATGTCCGATATCAACAAGTCAATAAAGCCTGGCAAGTGCACCTTTCCGCTGATGCGCAAGAAGCGTCCCTGCGGCATGCCCACCCGAGTCGGCTGCGCCCTCTGTGGTGCTCATCTATCGAAGCTGCGCTGCCCTTCCTGCACTACGGCTCTCCCCTCTGAGCGCGCTTTATCCAAACACCTCCCCATCTGCCCCGCCGCGCGACGGATACGAAAGGAAAGGGAGCAGCCGTGGTGCGTACCAGCCTGTAACATCTACCGCCAATCCGTCAGCTATAAGCAAACCCTCTATTCCAAATCCCCACTCCAACTCGATGAGATAGAACATGTTATGAAAACAGTCCAACGTCTGCTCTCGACAGGAAAGGACAGCCTTGCACCGCCCTGGGTACCTACGCTTCCTGTCCAGCGTAGTTTTTTACTTGAGGAGGATGCAGATATCGCAGCCGAATGGGCCGACTCGCGAAACTCTCAGATGAAGTTAGAGCCCAAGCATTTCGCCCAGTTTGGTCCACTTGCCGCTTCTCTACTTCATCATCCGCCCACCGACAAGCTCGCCGTCCTCGAGCTTGGCGCCGGTCGCGCCTACACAAGTCTCTACGTTGCTCATGTGCTACACAAGCGCGGCCTTCCGGCCAGCTTCGTAGCGGTCGACCGTGCAGGGGGGCGCCACAAGGCGGACAGGACCATTCGCAACTGGGTCGACAATGCCGACAGCCCGCTGAGGACATTCAGGAGAATTAAATGCGACGTCGCAGACTTTAGAATACGTGAAGTGGACGAGATTAGAACGGCCACCGATGTGCGCCTTATCGGTAAGCATGTGTGCGGAGCGGCGCTGGATGCATCGCTCAATGCTGCGACAAATTTTGCGAGAGAAGAGCGCAAAGGTGCGGGGGAAGTTAGACTGATTTTCGCTTGCTGTTGTAGAAGGCTTTGTAGATGGGACTGGTTGGGGGAGGCCCAGAAGATATGGTTGGATTGGGGGGTTGACGACAAGTTTTATGAAGTGATTTGTCGCCTCGCACAGTGGGGTCTCGATCAAAAACAGGCACAGGAATACGCTGAGATCGGGAAAAAGTGTAGGCTTCTGCTCGATATGGGTAGGGTGCGATGGTTGCGGCGTCAGGGATGGGACGCGTACTGCGGAGAGTACACAACGGCAAGCCCAGAGAATAGATGCATTGCAGCCGTTTGGAGAGGTGTGTAAATGTAAGAGCACGTATAATACCACCACATCTATCGTGAAATTGCAACCAGGAAATAGTGAGTCACGACAGAGTTGCCCCTTAATCCCTTTCCCTGTTGAGCTACGGATGCTAGGCAAAGCTTCAAAGAGAGCACATCGCGAGTCAATGTTCCAAATTAGAAGTTCCGGAAGCAACAAACGCACTTTGCCGCTCTCAGAAGCGTAAAAGAGATAACGAGTAGGCTGAACGCAACGAATCGCACAGGTCTCAAGCGATGGAACGTGTGTGAAGGTGCAAAAAATAACCGCAAACTAAAACATGTATTCATGCACGAGCAGATATGCCGCTCGCGAAACAAGAAAAGTGGAGCAGAGAAGGAATTAACTATCAAGAGTGGTAACCGTCATGACCTCAAGCAGTAGAAAACCGCCACAGGAACCTCTTACAAAGCGATGACAATGTTCCTGTCAGGCGGGAGGGTTTGTGCGAGGACTTTACTCGTCGTCTTCGTCGGTTTCCTCCTCTTCCTCACTTCCCTCCTCTTCCTGCTCCAGCCACTCAATGATAACCCAAACCGCCTTGCGAACGTCAGTGTCCGATCCCTCGTTCCTGTACCACTCCAAGATATGCTCTTCCTCGATGACGTCGGCATCATAAGCCGCCTTGAGGAAATGTGGAAGCAGAGGGAGCATCTTCTTATCATGCTCACCAACCCAGTCGAGGTAGCTCAAAAAGGCGTTCTGAGCGTGGGCTTCCATCGGTTCGCCCAAATAAACAAAGACCGGGATGGCCCTATCTTCCACCGACTTGGCCATTGTAGCGACAGTCTCGTCGACAACAGCAGCCATCATAATCCCCCTAATCACATCATCCTCCCCGAAGATCTTCTCAGACTTGGAGAGTACTTTGCTAGGTTTCTTCCCATCATCGATGTATGCCTTCAACTTTGTAGCCATATGATGCTCGTCCTCGGCAGGAGCACGCTCCAAAATAGCAGCAGCGGCACCAAGCTCACGCATGCGTGCCTCCTGGGCTTCCTTGGAGGTATCGACACTCCACTGAACATCGTCATCTTCATCATCGTCTTCCACAGGACCTGTGGCAAACTCGTCGTGAAAGTCAATATCGGCAGCCATACCGACTGCCTCACCATTCTCGGCGGCCTTTTTGGCGGCCTTCTTTGCGGCACGGTCGGCCTTGCGGCGTGCCTTCTCATCGTCATCTTCATGGTCGGGAGAATGGGCCTTCTTGGCCTTGAGGGCACGACGAGCTGCCTTGTCTTTCTTGCCACCCGACTTCTTCTTCTTGCCGTCCGGAGGATTGTTCGCAATGTAGGTGCAGAGTTTGTGAGTCATATCACACAAAGCCTCGGAACCACAAGCGTTGCAAGCTTGAGTGATGTTGCCATTTTTTTTGAGCTTGAGGTCAGTTTCCGGCAAATTACAGTTGGAGCAAAGGACAAACATATCGATAAACTTGCGCAAGGTCTCGGTTAGAACATTCTGCTGGAATGCACCATTGACGATGTAGACACCGGCGTTGTCATCAATCTTTGTCTGTGCGCCAAGCTCACAGCCAAAAAATTTGCAGACATAACCCGGGGGCCTGTGCAAGGCACGAGCGACCTCGAAGCAGTTGACGATACGAGTTTTGATGCCGTTGCCCCGGCCTTCGACTTTACCCATGACGGGGGGCATCTTGTAGCGATTAAACTGGTCATCGCCGCCTCCAATGTTGACAGAGGTAGCCATGTTGCACAAGTCCAAAAAAAAAACGGGGAGAAGAGAAAAGAAGCGGTTATGTGGCGAGGATGGGGACAGCAAGGGGAGTGGGGGACGGGATTTGGAGTGAAGAAAGAATGGTTGATAGTTTCGGGCGCTTGGGCGCTAGCGGACGAGTTTCAACCGGCGGTAAGGACGTGATGAGTGGAGGGACGTTTCGCGACGCCGGGTGGGAGGGTGTCGTATCCGAACATGCAAAAGACAGGGCGAATGCTTGTAGCGCAATAGTGATGCCAGTGTGCAAGTCGTATGCGGGAACGGGGAGCAGTGGGGGCCGACGTTTGGGGAGAGGATGGGGAAAAAGTGAGGGTTTGCGTTCGGGAGGGCGGGTAGAGGCGGGGGGGGGGGGGGAAGTGAGGCGGCAAGGTGGGGCTGGGGACAGGTAGAAGAGCAATTTTTTTTCGCCACAAATGGAGGCGAGTGGTGGATGGCCGATAGGTGAGGGAGGCCGAGGACAGTGCATTCACTGCGGCCGTCGCACTGCGGTCTCTGCATCCACGGGGCTGTAAGACACCTTCTGATTGGCCTTGGAGGCGCCAACACACCCAAAAAATCAGCGTTCCTACATGTGCTTACACAAAACCTGCTTTGTTTACTGTACACTCTACCCGACCCTTGTACTGTAAATCAACTTGACCTCAATCCACCAGCTCGGCCTTCGCCTTCGTTGATCCGCCATCATTCGGCTCCATCCCCGACTCCGCCACTGCCTCCCTCTCAGTGGTTTCCTCCCCCCCAGTTATCGCCGCTTTCGGAAACAGTTGTCCGCTCATCGTCCGCAGCGCCGCCGCTCCCTTGATCTCCTTGTCAAACATTTGCACCTTTGCAATCAGCAGCCCGTCAAACGTCCTGTCGATAGCCCGCAAGTTCCCTGCCTGCTCCTTGAATCGCGCCGCGCAAAACGTACAATCGTCGTTCTCAGGTTGCACTTGATTCACAAACATATGTCGAACCGGAATCTTCTCTTTGGCAAGCTCCTCCACCAGCCGCTTTGACTCGGCGATAGCCATCATGTTCGGGATCGTCGCCACCACGAATTCCGTCTGGATTTCGTCCCGGAAAAGATCCCGCACCATCCCCATAGACCGCTTCAGCTCCTCCATGTCCTCCACAGATGCGTTCAATTCCGCATCCGGATCTCCTCCGCCAAACATCCCCTTGAACTGCTTCATCACATTCCCCAACTTGCTCTTCATTGAGATAATCTTTCCGAAAAAGCCGTTGAGAAAGTCCGGCAGCGCCAACAGTCTCAGTGTATGCCCCGTTGGCGCTGTGTCAAACACGATCCGTTCAAACCTCGAATACGCCGCGTCCCCTTGAATGTACTTGACAATCTCCACCAGCGCCACCGCCTCGTCAAACCCAGGAGGGATCGTGTCAAAAAGAGAGTTCAAATCATCCAGCCCCATATCCTCCATCCCCATCGAAGCCAGCGCCTTATCTCCGCCGCCCATCTGCTCCATCATCTTAAACGTCCTCTTCATCGAGTCTGGATCCACCTCCTGCGCGTACAAATTGTCGATCCCCATCACGGGCACCGGATCCCCACCTGACATATTCTGCCCAAAAGCGTCCGACAAACTATGTGCCGGATCCGTAGACACAATTAGCGTCGTCTGCCCCCTGTCCGCAAACGCAGTCGCCACCGCCGCCGACATCGACGTCTTCCCCACTCCCCCCTTCCCACCCACAATAATATACTTGCGCGCCGTATTCCCAAGCAAGTCAAGCGCCTCCTCCGTCGATTCATGGCGCAGCGGCACGGCCCGCTGCATGCTCCCCCCATTCCCTGCCTTGCTCCCTCCCGCAAAACCACTGTTCGTGGTCTTTACCTTATCCGCTATACTCACGCTACCATCGTTCTCCGCCTTCGCCGCCAACTCCGCATTCTTCGCCTCCAACTCCCCGCTAACGCCCTTCACCGCCCGCACGGCCTGTATGATGGCAGACACGAAGAGAGCGACCTGCAGCGGGTGCGCCTTGGCCCATTGGATGGGATTTTTGTCGGCTTCTGGTGGCGGCGGCGGGGCGACGGGCACCTCCACAACGGTCTCCGTCTTCTTTGCGCGCCCGGTGCCCCCGAAGACACGCGGGATGCCCAAGAGCATAGTCGGGGCGGTGCTTGGAGGCAAGCGGATCGCCGCCGGGCACGCGCTCACAAAGGTCGACGAAGACGCGCCCAGCGGCGCGCAGGGCGTGACGAAGAGCGGGGCAGGCATCTTGACGAAGTCGGATGCGAGGAGTGGGGTGGCGACGGCGGGGGGCAGAGAGGCGCTGGTCGGCGGGATGCT